TAAAATTTAACGGTTTTCAGAAAAAATCAAGTTTTTCACGGTAGCATCCCGAATCAGTTTTCGCAAAATACATATTTTATTTATTTATTCAGAAAATTGCGAAAATGCGTACTCTGATTTCAGTAAAAAGTTGGGATTTTACAATTGGTATCAGAGCATGTTTCTGCGTCTCTGAAAAGTTTTTCAGTCAGTAATTTTCAGAAAAACCTGAACCGTCACGCTCACGCCTCGCCGACTACAGGTAAGTGCTGATTCAGTTTTCAGTTATAAACATATTACTTTTTCTATGCTAAAAAATCAGTAATCAGACTTAGTTAAGATGCTCGAATCAAATTCAGATTTTAGAGTTCAGATATAACTCTAGAATTCAGAATATTCAGGCATGACTTTAGAAATCTGTATACTCAGACATGACTCTAGAATTAAGTATCTTTTGATATGACTCTAGAGTTCCTCAGGATTCATGTCAGTATTTATCGGCCACTTTTGGCAACTCGTCAAGAGATTTGTGTGCCTAAGTAATTAGTCAGAATATTATCACGTGTTCAATAATGTCAAACTTTCTCAATGTTCAGATGCCGCCCCGTAGGGAACCCGATCATCTGGCTCCTACTCAGGCCACAGTAGTCGCACAGTTCCGCGACTATCATGCCGAGAAATTATCAGGACAGGGAGATCCTCGCATCGTAGACGAATGGATTCAGGGCCTGGAGTTTATCTTCGAGGTCATGGATTGCCCTGATAGATATTGCGTAATTTGCGCTCAGCTTCAGCTCACCGGTGATGCTCGGCTCTGGTGGAATGCCTACTGGAGTATGCGTCCCGGCGAGAAGGCGGGATGTATGTGGGAGATGCTCAAGGAGCTAATCCGTGAGAAGTACTACCCCACCTACTACCGAGCAGAGATGGAGCGTCAGTTTCTATCGCTTCAGCAGGGTACTCGTACTGTTGACGAGTATGAGAGGGAATTCACTAGACTTGCAGCTTTCGTTCCTGATTTGGGTTGCACGGAGGCCCAGAGAGCACAACGTTTCATTGACGGGCTTTACCCAGCAGTCCGTCATAACATCGTAGGCCACGGGACACAGACCTACACTCGTGCAGTTTCGATTGCTCAGGAGGTGGATTCCAGGATCAGGAGGGAGGCCGTCCGTGATCAGTCCCAGCCATCCGCCCCTGCTCAGTCATCTTCAGTTCCACGATGCCAGCTCTACCAGCTGCCCAGCCACCGAAGAACAACAAGAGGAAGGGGAAAGTGCCCCGATGGATAAGAGGACCCGACGGAGGCTACAGCAGATCCCACAATGCCCGACATGCGGACGGCTTCACCGAGGCGAGTGTTGCTTTGGTCAGGATGTATGCTACTACTGTCACGAGCCCGGACACTTCGCAAACCATTGTCCGAAGAAGGCACAACATCCTCAGTAGCCTCAGCAGCCACCGCAGCAGCAGCCACGTCAGCAGGCACAGAGGCCGCCCCAGCAGCAGCAGAGGGGCATACAGCAGGCCCGAGTTTATGCAGTCGATCAGGCAGAGGCCGAGCAGCAGCCAGGTACTATGTAAGAGATGGTTGTGCTTAATAATGTTCCTGTGTTTGCTTTATTCGATACTGGAGTGACACATTCTTTCATTTCACGCGATGTCTTGATGCCATCGGAGTTCGCACTACCACCGCTATCGATCCTCTCGAGGTGAGTTTGGCCTCGGGACGAAAGATTGTGACTTCAGCTAAAGCTTCAGATCTTAGCCTTTCCATCGGTGGCCGAGTATTTTCTACCGACGCGTTTGTTCTCGAGATGAGGAACTTCGACCTTATTCTCGGAATAGATTGGCTATCCTTTTATCATGCAGATATCAGATGTCATGATCGGGAGATTACTCTGTATCTTCCGGGAGACGACTCGATCACTTTCTTCGGATCCAGGAATCGTTCATTGCCTCATGTTGTTTCGATGGCGAAAGCCACTAAGTTGCTGCGA